TATATTAATAATTAATTAGTTTTCTGTTCAATTTAATGTTAATAAAATTATTATGCATACATACATAAATTTTGTAGCTGGCGGCTGTCATTTTACAAATATTTTTACCACATTTAATATGCATACATGTAAGTACATATGCAAATTTATTTTACTTATATATAAAATAAATCTTTAAATCAAATTATAGCGACTGATTTCCATTACCTATGACGCAAAGGAATTATATACTATAAATAAAATTTTTTAATAATATTTTATTAAAGAGATTTTTATAGCCCATAATTGTAATTGCTTCGACTATAATTTAAGTTTATTATAATACCCTTAACAATTTATTTTCAGATCAGTAAATTAATAATAATTTCTTGTCTAAAAATATTTTCTTATATATTTTTAGTTACAATAACACAAAATGAATTTACATATACATAAATTTCCTTTTCATATCTGTAAGTAGTTCAATTTATTTTTAATTTTATAACCTTTGGTGACCAATAATTTATATTCTATATACATAAATATTTATAGAATTAATATTATATAATATGATTTAAGTATGGAAATAAATTAAAAAGCTTTTAATAAGATTAACATTGACAGAACTATATGATGGTATAGTTATAATTATTTCTTCTTCTAAAGTAGGTATAATTTAATTCTAACCAAATTTCATTCAAAATATATTTTGGCAAATTAAATAAAAGATGACAAATTTTATATGTAAGAGCTCTAAAATGCTTCAATATGCAAACTGCATATCCAGATTTCTAAAGAACATAATCGGAAATCCTATCAATCAATGTATTTAAAAATTAAATTAATTTATATGTAAGCGACTATGTTAATTAAAAATAATTTTGCATACTTTAACTATATCAGAGGAAGGAAACCCTGAGGCCGCAGGTGGACTCTTTTAGTTTATCGGCCACGCCTGTCAAGGTAAATTTTTTTGAATTATATTTACGTTGGCCATCTATTCTAATTTTTTTTCTTTCACTTCGTTCTATTCTTTCATTGGTGTCGATCAGTTGTGGAATCATAATTGTTCTGTCCTTTATTGTTAGTATTATATTGCTATAAAAAAGCTGAATTTAAAATTAAAAAAATTAAAAAATAACATTTCAACAGCAATAACTTTGAAAGAGTTATATTTATGGAAATTAAACTTATTCGGCCTCTAATGTTACTGCTGTTTTAAACATGGCCTGTAAGTATAAGACGGTTCCCCACATTTGGACTATAGTGATGAAAGGTATCCCACATGAACCGTGACTGCTATACTTCCTTTTTTCATTGTTTTAAATCACTGATTATTTGATTTCTCTTTTTGATCTATGGTATTGCCTAGAATCTTGTCTATTAAACAGGGAATTTTTTTTTCTTAACTAAGTTTATAACTACGTATCCATTACCTTATAATCTCACAAGCAACAATAAAATATAAAATTTTTTCAATATTTAAGTTTTAATTTCCTATACCCAAATTAATAACCTTTCCCAATATTTAAAATATTGTACAGAACAAAAATAACTTGAGAAATGAAAAAAATAATTTCTTAATTGCTTAAACGGAGGAGAAAAGGTTAAAAACGTTTAGACAGACACTTTGTTTTTTTTTTGTGTGTTTTCTTTTTATATTTATACCATAATTAATGTATTTTAATAAGCCTATTATTAAAGCCTCAAAAATCCATTAGACGAAATTTTTCGATTTTATGATGACGTAGGGAAGTAACATGAATTTTTTCTTAGATATGTACGCAATATAGTAGGTATAGGAGCATGTGTGTATTCTGAAAGTGCATTAAGACACAAATGTAATAATAATTTTGTAGGGTACTTATATTTAAAACCATTTTTACTATTAATAGTACACGAAAAACTAATTTGTCTGACCTTTGTCAGTGCTATACTAAAATTTCTGTACAACAAAACAAGGGAAAAAAATTTTTATCATTGATTTTTTTGAATTTTATTTTTTTTTTCGTATTTCAAATCTCAATTTATAATTCAAATGTTTTAAGGCCCTGTCAATCAAATTCATTTGTGTTATTGTTCCTGGATCTCTTTTTTTTCCTTTTTCGTTATATTATATTTCTAAGGCACCTGTACATTAAGGTGATCATTTAAAAACTTAAAAACTTGTCTGGATTTCCCTCTTTCATTACTTTTAAATGAATATTAAATGAACTTTATTAAATTTTTGAGTTCATTGTTAGAGTATTGACAAAAAAAAAGGGTTAAAGTTAAGCCTTAAAGAGACTTTATAGTGAACTCTGTGAATAGCTAAGTTGAGAAAAAAATATTAAGATGTTCAAAAATTTTGTGACCTATTAGACTTTTTATTGAAATAGAGATTATAAATTTATTATTATTCCTGATCAAATGCTGGTAAATATCGTCGAGTAGGAATAATTAAATTCGGGGAATCACGTGGAATAATTCTTGCATCTAAAAATTTTTTTTACATACATAGTAAAATAAATTTGCCATTATACTGTTGTAGGTTTTCTTTCTATTTTAATAGAAAGCACAACAAAACAAAAAGCACAAATAAATTTGATTAAATTACAATGATTATTTGAATAGTTCCTCTCTCCAGTTTTCTAAATCAATTCTCAAATTGGTTAAAAGCACTTTTAATTCCTGTAAAATTTTCAGTTATCAATTTTATTCCAGCACTATTTTAAACTTCAAATAGGATTTTATAATAAAAAAACTGCCGAATGACAAGCATTCAATTCTATATGTCGCAAACTTGCCTTTAATCCTATATACAGAAGTCAAAAGGTGTATGCATATTGAATATTGGAAAATGAATAACCACTTTAATAAAATTTAACCGAATTTAAGTGATATATCGTGTAAAATTGTAAGGGAAATTAAATCTAAAATAAAATTTTGTAAAACATTCTTTGAATAAAGATTATTTTCGAAGTAAAATTTTCTCTCGTTCCACTTTCTTAAATATCACATTTTCATGTTTTAGTTAATTCAAAGTCTGTATGTATATACAGGGTGTCTCATGAGTAGACAAAACTTTTTTATGGAGATGATGTTCACAGCTCAACAGGTTTACGAAGTTACAGGTCAATCTTAACTAATTTTTTTACTTTTAAACTTTTAAGTATATAGCTCCGTCCCTGTGTAAGACAATATGGCGGTTTTTAAATATAATTTGGAAACCTCAAAATTGGAGCTTTCTTACAAATATCGCTATTAGTCATAATTTGTTCAGATTACGGAATCATATGATTTTGAATTTCGAAAAATTAGAAATTTTAACTTTTCATTTTTAAAAAATGTTAATTTTCTATAGATAACGTAACATTGGAATTTACTCCAAGCAACTTTGTTAACCGATGTTCAATTTTGTATATAAGTCATCATGCTACCTGATCTGGTGTAGGAGTTATTGAAAAAAATAGAATGATGCAAATGTTATTCTATACCAAATTTTTTTCTTCAAAGAAACTAGTTCTCCAATGTACAAAATCAGTTTAAAATGTATCTCTCTTCTGTTATGCAAATTTTCAATTTAGTATCTTCGTTACATTTGCAAAAAATCAAGGGGCGAAGAATATCATCGGCTCTCATTGATACAACCATATAAATCAGTTTTGTGAACAACATTCCAAAGTATTGTCTACTCATAATGCCTTATACAATTATATATTCCAATTCGTTTTGATGTGAGACACCATGTATACATATACGAAATTCTGTAATATCTTATATAGTATTAATTAATTTACATAGTTGTTGCAAATAGACTTTCCTTAAAATTCATGTAAATCAACCAGAAATTCCATATGAATGTTATTTTCGAAAAATGAAAAAATAACATTTATTGTATATAGTTATGAATAAAATTTTTTACATCACAATCGTCATGTTTATTCTAAAACTGAATAATAATATACTATAGATGCTACTATATCAAATATATCACATAACAAGATTTAATAATATTTATGTTGTACATATTATCATTTCACTTGTATAACAAATACAAAGAGATTAATACAATCGAATTTATTCAAATCCAAAATAATAATAGTAATTGGTCAGTCATGTCTTTTAAGTAAATTGAATTAATTTTCTTTTTGTATATACATATATTATACACTCAAATTCATCTTATACACAGTGATAACTATTTTGCTATACTATTATATTTGTATATAATAAAATTTTTTCTTATATCTCCGTCAAATATTTTTCAATTAATATTATGGTAAAAGGATTAAATGGAAATTTTTCTTTTTTCTCTTTTCATATATAAAAATTCCTAAAAAAAAAATTTTTTTTTTTTCATTTAGTGACTTTTTGAACTTTAATCGCTTATACTTTTTGTTCGTATGAATGCATAAATGAATTTGAAGTAACAAAAAAAATTATACATGAATTCTTTATTTATTTTAATATTATAAAAACTAATAAATTACTTACAATATTCATTTCTTAAAAGATGAAGAAAAAAAAACTGTACAATACAGTTAATCCTTTCAAGTCTTACAAGAGCACATAATTTCTGTCAAAAAAAAAAATGAAATAACAAGCAAATATCAATGGTAGCAACAAAACAACAGAAAAATATTTTAAATTTCAGAAGAAAAAAGAAAAACTCTTGAAATATGAAACGAAAGCCTTTAATAAATATTTTAACATGAGCTCTAATAGCAACAAAAATTCCATATTATTGTTATTATTATATTGGAAAATCTAAAAATAATAATATGGTTTTGGATCAGTTTATTCAATATAACACCCTGAACCCGCTCCTTAGAATATTTCTTTCTAAATGTGAACAAAAAATAAAAATTATATTTTTCCATGTATTTTTTGACATTTCGATTATTAATAGCCTTTATATGTATTTAAGGATTAAAATATATTTATAATACTGATTAATACCGTTTCTTTTACAATCCAGTAATTCAATTTATAAACATAATCTTTAATTTATTTTATTTTTATTTGTCTTTTCAGTTATACAATCATATACAATATGATTTAAAAGGAAAAAAATCAAGAACAACACAAAATAATATAAGAGAAATTGAAGAAAACTCCGAAATACAAGGAAAACAAAAATTTACAGAGGGAACAAGAGAGTATACACACATAGGAAGTTAATTCAATTCAAACGCATTCTCTGCAAATTATTATTGTGAATTTTAAAAGAGCATCAAGTACATAATCTCTTCTTTTTACAATTTTTATTTTAGAGTTGCTCTTATACATTTTGTATAATTACAATCAAACATATAGTTCTAATGATGTTCGTTCATCTGTTACATCATACTTAAAATGTAAGAAATTAAAAAAATTGTGTAGGTGGATTGGTAGCTTATCTACCAATATTTCAATAATTTATTCAGTTACAGAAGAGATCCAAAAAGAAATATTTAAAATCAAGTTTTCATTTATTAAAAATTATTGAAAAAACGAAACAACAAAAATGAATGAAATATAAAAAAAGAGAAAAAAAAATAATATTGCTTTTTCAGTGTATTACAAGAATATTTAAAAAAAAGAAATAATTTCAATCAAAGATACCTGAAATATTCATTTACATTTTAAAAATTTCAAATAATCAAAATTAAATAAAATGTATCCAAATACGAATAATAAATTTTCACCGATGCGACCACCATCACCGACAACATTTGTTAATTTTTCACCACCAACTGATTATCCTATATCATCATCGTCAACAGTTATTGGTGGTGGTTCATCGAATATGACAGCAATTTCATCAAAAAATCCAAATTCAATGCCAATAAATGGACCAAATAAATCGAAATCATCATTGAATCATTTAAATCAAAATAATTTAATATCAAATCAAATGGCCGGTGTACATAATTATCCAACAAATAATGATCATCATTTGCATCATCAACATTTTCAACAGCAGCAACAATTACAGCAACAACAACATTTACAACAAATACAGCAGCAGCAACAGCAACAACAACAACAGCAACAATTTCATCATCTTAATACAACAGAAGCTTTAAATCATTCAATGTCATCATCATCGTCATCATCAAAGCACAGTAATCAACATTTGACCAAAAATAAAATTAATCATAATAATATTAATACAAATGTTGGTAATAGTAATAGTACGAGTGGTGGTACAAATAGTGGATTTATTGATGGTCGTATGGTACAATCAGCAACAATGGGTGGCCGATTTAGTAATGAGGATTTTTTTTATAATGATGAAATTGATAGTATAGAATTTTGTAGAACAACAACAAATAATGATAATTTAATGTTAAATAGTAATGATGATTGTAATTCAGTAAATTTTATGGGAGCAGCAACAACAATAAATAGTTGTCCTGGTAGTTCATTTACAGAACGTAGAAGACGTGGTCACAGTAGTCGAAGAAGTAATCATAAATTAGAAGTTGAACAGCAGGTAAGTTGAATTTTGTTTTTATATATACAAATATACAATTAAAAAAAAAAAAATAATAAGATTTATTAAAAATGAGAGAGTAAATCCATTTAAATTGAAAATATCTTGAAAAATAAATGGTTTTGCCCCAAATTTTTGTCAAATTTTTGATTTTGTAATGTGAAGAATAATATTTGTTCAAATATTCTAGGTTAAATGGACTCGTAAAAATATCGCCGCTACAATGGAACGTTTTGAACCGACACCACAGAAACTTGATTATGGTGCAACATCAACAACACCACCATTACAATCATCACAATCAGTTCAATTGCAATTACAGACTACACCGAATTATGAACATAATCCAGTAAATCATGTCTACTCATATGCTTATTATGAACCTGGTGCAGCAAAATGTCATACTAATATACCACCAAAAGATTTTAATCCTCAGCCACTAGTCGGTTCATCAATTAATCAAATATCTACGACATCAATTGCATCAACATCATCATCATCTTCATCAGTTGGTTTAGGTGGTAGTATTGGTTCAAATAATACTAGTCCTTTTGCTGTGAATATGGGTGCATCAACATCATCCGGTATTAGAAATTCAAATCCAGGTCCTTCAAAAAGTCCACCACGTAACTCAATAAGGGCATTATTAGCAAAAAGTTTTCGCTCAAAAACATCAAGTAGTAATAATACAAGCCATCATAGTCAATCACCAATACATAATGCAACAGATGATCGACATAATTATACGACACGTTATGGTACCACAGAAAATTTATATGAAGAAGTTAATGATCAAAAAATACGTAAAGTATTATCAGATAATCGTATAGTTTCAATAAATTCACCAACAGTTAAAGAAGAACTTCGTCGAGTGCAACATAATCATTTTAGAGTTTTAGATGAATTAAATTTATCATTGGAAGCATTAATAATGCCACAAACACCACCAGATGTTAGTCCAACTGTTGAAGAAAAAGTATCACATGCTAGTAGCATGGAAAATTTATCTAGTACACTTAATTCAATTGAATTAAAAGATCATACATGTATTAATCCGGAATTTGATGAAGGTGATTTAGATAGTGGTTTTAGTGGTAGCGGTAGTAGTAGTGGTGCTAGTTATAATGAAAGTTTAAGATATTATAAAACTACTGGTGTTGGTAGTAATGTTATACAAACAACAACATTACCACATAATATTCGAAGTTGTCGAAATTCAACAGCTTCTGGTACATCAACATCAAAAAGTAGTATGAATTCAGATGATCATGGTATAATTGGTTTATCAGGAATATCAAATGGTGCTAATAATAATTCATCTAATGTTAATGTAGGTGCATCATCATCGTCATCATCATCACCACCATTTAATTTTATACGACGTTGTTCAGATTCACAAAGATCATCTGGTTCAGTAATTGCATGCAGTAATAATAGTAGTAATATTATTAGTGGAACAAAAGGTAAAAAAAGTTTTTGGACTATAAAACAGTGATGTATTACGCTAATTGAATATACCTGCCAAAAATGGTCCGTTTTACTGGTAAGTGCCTATAAAGATTTTATAAATTCATATTTCTATAAAAATAAATATTCTTGTTTCTAAATTGTTTGCTTATTTTAAAAGTAATAAGAATAGAAAAATTTTCATATTTTCATGTTATGAATTATTTTCAAATGAATTTTCCACTTAAAAACAAAAAAAAAAGCAAAATAATAAAAATTAATCGGAAAATAAGTCGAAAATAGAATTATTACATGAAAGGAAAAATGTCATGTTAATCCGTTCCGTTGAAAATTTTTTGTTTTTTGCTTCTTTAAAAGACAAAGAATTAAAAAAAAATTGAAAATAAATATACAAGTTGATGAGTTATTACAAGAAATTCTAAAAATATGCTTAAGCCATAAATGAATTTTCATGAAAAAGTACACACCCGTTTACCTATATATGCGATTTATATTCTTCGATGTATTCATGGAACATTTTATACACTTGTTCTTACAAATTGAATAATTTATTTAAAGAACTTTGAAATTTCATAGAAAATACAAGAATTAGAGGCTGTTGTAATTTGTATAATGAGTTTTTATGTTGCACCTCATAGCCAAGAATAATATAATTTTAGACATTGTTAAGTTCTGTGGAACATGAAATCAAACTGAAAAAAAGAATGGTAACCTGACATAGAGGATAGGTCGCAAAATTATTTTGCTATTATAGGTGTCAATGGTATAAATTATAGAACAAAAGGATTGTAGTTAGACTGGAGTATTTTTGGGACATTAATGACAAATTCAACTTCAGTTTATTATTCTGGACTCAGTTTTCACATAGATTTTCTCTAAAAACACGAATAATTATTAGACAGTAGCTTGATTATATTATAGTAAATTACTTATCTTTTGTCAATAACATTAATGCGGTCTTGCCATGCTACATAGTTGTTAATCGTGATTTTAAGGCCAGGTTATGCAAATTTATTTTCAGTGAATAAAAGCTTGTCAAAATTTGAACATGGTGCCGAATGTTAATGGGCTTTATAAAATATTTTTTTGTATTTAACATTCCAAAACTTTTCCTGGTCTTAAAATTTTTAAAATTTTTGAATATATTATAGCTGTTAACTTAACACGTAGTTCTTATATAAAAATATAACATTATTTAATTGGAGGTGTTATAATAGTCTTTGTTTTATGACATGAATTTCCTACGTACACTATGCATATTATATAGTATAACACTATACGAAAATATTTTCTAGAAACTAACTTGGTTTCCTGTTTCATTAACAAGTTTGATCGATATTATCATATTAAATGATTTACAAGTGCATACTAACAACAAATTAAATCTTATAAACAAATTAAAAGAAAAATATTTTTGAATACGTATATTCTATGTATAACAAATATAGAATATATTCAAAACATTGTACAATTTTCCATCTTGTCAACTATATGAAATAAAATACATATTATGTAATTAAAATTAAATTATATCAAGAGAATAATGTCATGTATAACACATAACTTATTAAATTAAAAATTAACAAAATGTTATCAAGGGGGGAATGTATAAGGAAAGTAATGTAGGCTGAAGAAATTATTTCAACCCATGCATACTTTTAAATACTATTTCAGTAGTACATATATGGCGCGGTTTCTTTATTGAAATAGTGCGGTGCATATTATGTGTTCCAACGTTATAATATTTACACGTATGTAAACACTATTTATATTAAATTTTGTGTAGATGTCGCTAATTTCAATGATTTTGATAATTAATGTCAAGTATTTTCGTAAAATAAAAATTATTAAGAATTAAATCACAAGAATAAGTGTTCATTTCAAGTTTCTTATTACAAAATTGCCCAAAATTTTTTTTTGAAGGTTAAATACAAGAATATTTTAGAGCAAAGATAGGTAGCTTGGCAATCAAATAAATTTTGAATGAGAAGCTCTTTTTTAATTTCACCTCAGCCTATTATTTCAAAAAGAAAAAAAAAAATTTCAACCATAATATTTATTGCGGTTTTTAACAAGCACAACTGTTAATGATTTATACTTTATTTCAGAAATTTCTAGTTTAAGGTATTCCTTCCAATATTCTATTCATCATTCTATAGAGTCCTATCTTATGATCCTATTGAACTTCAAATGAATAAGAATTCATTGTCCTTATATTTTTTTTAAAAAAGGACAAAAAAAAAATCAAAATGGAGTAAGAAAATAATTTTTTTTTTAGTCGAATTTTTTACCGCCATTAATAGTTTATACTTTATTTTACAGCAACACCAGTCTAATAGAATATGGAAAAAAAAAAGAAACTAAAATTCACTAAATTGATGTCTGACAATTTATATACCAAACTAAATATAGGATGGAACCAACTTTTTTTTTTATTACTTATTTAATATGTATAAAAAGTATTGCACATTCCATATATCAAAAAAAAAAAAAATGTTGTTAGAACTAAAAGGAATTTTTCTCTTTTGTATATACATAGATTATTCACACATACTTTTTATGTCAATTCCGTTCACATAATTTTTTATTTAACAATCCTCAATCCATCCCCTTCAAAATTTCTTTTTTTTTTAACCCGAACTTTTAACGTTTTTTTATTGCTTTAAATTTTACAAATATATAGAAACCACAAATAATCGCCATCATCACTATTAGCTTTCATTCAATATTAAGCTCAATTTCTCCTGCTCATTTTTTTCTTCGCTTCTATATCAAACGAAAAGAAAATAGGTATCGCCACCCTCTTCACAATAAAAATTCATTTTCTCTCCTAAATATTTTTTATTTATTTGTATTTTTTTTTTTTTTTTTTTTTGAAAATGTCCTGTCTTTCTTATAATTTAATATAAGAGTCAAAAGAAAAACAAAAAAAAAAAAAAATTTCAAATAGAAATGAATTGAATGAATTTCGGACTTGGTGGGGGGATGGTAAAAGAAACCTAAGAATGAAAATCATTTTTCAAAAGTGATGACCATTAACGTAAATTGGCTTCAATTGAAGATATCTACTGCTTGAAAAATTGCTAAACATTTATATTTCTTTTTTTTTTTTCTATTCTTATTTTATTTTTGTATTTTTAGTTTTTGGGCTTGTCCTCTGTTTCCTTATTCGATTAAAGAAATTGTTGACAACTACAATGTTGTTGATCAAAAATGGAGATGGTACTACAGTTATAAATTTTCTAGTAATTTGAGTATCAGATTTTATAGTTGTTAGAATAAGCATTAAATATTTAACGTAGTATGCAAAAAACGTAGTGGAAAAATTTTTAATTCTTGTAGTCCCAATTTCTGTTATACAAATCGATCGATTTGAAAATTTTCGCAATTACAATTCCCATTATAATAAGAGAGATCTGAGATGACTTATTGCATTCGACCCTCAATTAAATTCAATCCGAAGTTTAATTATGTAGGTTACGAAATGCATTTGAAAATTACAAATTTTCGCTTTTGAAAGGACGTTTCCTCATTTTAAAATCTTACCACCAAAAATATTAGAGACAAGTTTTTTGTCCAATTTATACCGAATAATGCGTCGCATTAAATAAAATAATTTAATAAAATTTTAGTGAAATCGAAATTTTACACATATGTGCAGTAACGTTGAATTTAAACTTAAGCGCGCGATCATTTAGGATAACTAATAATAACAAAGCGAGATTCGATGACTTTCTTTAAGAAGATATTCTTTGACAGTTTATCACTTCTTGTATTATGCTAACTTACAAAAAAATACTGAACAAAAAATAATATCAATAATTTTTGTGTCCAATCTCTGATTGGTATTTAACGTATTACATACCAGTAAATAAATTTCCAAAAAAAAAATGAGAAGAAAAAATTTGCTTTTCCCTTGTTTTATACCAGACTTTGTAAAAAAGAAAAGCATAGTCTTTTATAGGGTATAGAGTCCTATATGTGCATACCTACATTTATAAGTCCACGCTGTATTCGCACACAAACACCCATTTTTTGTCTGTATTTACCTATAGACGAAAACAATAAAAGTAAAATGAACAGAAAAAAAAAATTAAATAAATAAAAAATTCAGGGTGCGACAGCACATTTTAGGTTTTTTTTTTTTCTTCCACATTCTACTTTTTTATTTTCTACTTATTTTCATTTTTACAATCCTTATTATTGCACAAAAAGGAATTTAAGCAATTCTGTAATAATAAAAAATAAAATAATACAGAAATACAACCACAAAAGGAAAATATGTAATAATGATGCGTATTTATTTTTCACCCAAAAGAACACACACAGAAAAAAAAACACCACCAAAACCATTGAAAAAAAATTCGATAAAGTGAAAAAATTGAGGAAAATGTAAGGAATTCTGACAGAATCAATACTTGTGTCACTTTATTTTTTCCAAAAAAAAACAAAAAAAATGTAAATAGGAGACAAGGACAGAAAGCAAAAAAAAAATCGATAAAAAAAATTATATTAGCCATAAGGAAGAAATTTTCAATTTTTGTTGTAATTTCGTTGGCGCAAGGATTTGATATATTAGGACATATACATATTATTATTATTACTATTACTGTGCATCCCTTTCCATATCAATAAAAATTCCAAGTCATTTGGTAAACCAAAAATATGTTTATATTAACAAAAGTTGCTTTTTTTTTGTATAATCCACAAAAATATATTCAATATGGAGTAATAATAAAATAGGCATGCATAAATGTACATATAAGAATTTCAATATAAATTGACCTTTTATATATATAGGATAATGTCCTAACGTATGATCCTCTCTAGCTTACCAAAAGAATATAATAAACATTTATTACGTTACATGTACGTTAACTTAAAATAAAGAAATTTGGTAATAAAAGAAAAATTTTCGAAGCAATAAAAAGAGGTCAAATATATTTTGAAAGGCAAAACAGTATTTGACATTACTCTGACAGCATTTTGAAGTCTATTTTTTTTAATATTTACTATAAATTACTAAATTTTGGAGATTTTAGGAACTTTTCTATTTTAGGAACAATCGTATAAATT